CAACCTTGACCTCCCCCACACCTCCCATTAGCACGGATGGCTACGTACGGTGCGAAAGAAATTCAACATACACGAACATTATAGGAACATTCATATTGGATCATCTTTGTAATAACATTCATATTGGATGATTTTTACGCGCTATCGAGCACCTGCCGTGAGACAAACAGAGCTTAACGCACGGCGATGCGGCCCAGCGGCTTGTTGCAGCGCTCCACGGCTCGAAACCAACGGGCCGCCCTGATTAATACTGCGGTCGTGCGTATTAACCCTAAAAATACTGAATTCCGCCTGTTTCACAGTGTAAGTTGAAGATGTCGTGTCTTCGTTTGCATGGTACAAGTTTGCCAAATTTGAAAAAAATTACACCACTAACTACTCAATTGGAATACGGTAATCATCGCCCCCCTCCCTCCCTACTGTGACAGCTTGGCAGGATCCTCATGAAAACGAGTCATGAGACTTGGCGAGGCTTCCCTACGTGGTAAACAGCACGCGATAAAATTAACAGTCTCAACCTTCGTTGGAAAGCAGAAAGGAGATGATGCTGAAATAATCACCTTTTTAATGAATCGTGACAAATAATCAGATTGCTGGCGGGGTTGGGTCAAAGATCACACTGCCAATCCTGCAACCTGAGAATAACAATGCATATTAGAATAAGACATTAAAAAATAACACCAGATGAAGGATTACCATAGAGCTCAGATTAGCAACTAATCTGCATTTTAATACTGCAGTGTTTCACAGCTCATTGAGATGAACACGTCGTGTTAGCAGGCATTGTGATTTAACACGGCCCTGAAATTGCTAAAATAATAATAATACAGCGAGCACACGCCTGCGTATACGCGGCAACTGATTAACTTGGCATCCTTAAAGCAATAATGTAAAGGATAATTATTTGCAATTAAATCGTCGGCTATGTTAGATCGCCCTAATTGAATGCAAGCTCTTGTCCTACAGCAGCGCTAAATCACTTGTTCTATTTTTGTAACTGGTCGTTTGATCGGGATATGCAAATCTGCCAGCTTTAGACTCTGCCAAACGCCTCTCGTGTGAACATAGTCACGCTTTTACAGAGCGATCAATTTACAGATACCCCATCACGATAACTCAGAGACATTAGAGAGAGAACAACGTTTCGTTTTAAAGCCTCCGCACGCCACCCACCAACCTCAACGCACAAATCGAATCTCGTCCCACGGAGCCATCGCTCTCACAGTATCCAATCGCCCGGAAAAAAAGTTCGCGTCTGCCACAGTAATGTGGAATGCCCACCACTGGCTCAGCCTTGTCAACTGGGGGGGGGGGGGGAGCACCGGGTGTGCCGAGCGACGGACCACGTCACGGCCGCTCTGCCCGGACTCCGAGCGCAGCGACCTCAGGGCCCATCCCGGCCGCTGCCGCCGCCGCTGACGAAGCTTCGGCCGTTGCCCGGCCCGGCTCGGCAAGACGAGCGGCCGACGATAAAATACTGCCCCCGATAGTAAAACAAAACCAATGACGATGACACTCATTTCAGCAGGAATCACTACGCCCGGTTGGGAAGTTAGGGGGGGGGTCCATTAGATATCAGTGGGGTGTCTATAAATGGATCGCCCTGTCATCGCGCAACAATGTTTTCTTCCTTTTATGCGTGCCTCCGCGCGGATAACAAAGGTGGGGGGGGGGGATGGACATTTTATAATTTTCTCCACGCTTTACCGCGTGGAGAAACGTTTGTACAAGTAAACACGGATGATAGGATCCGTCACAAGCGTCCCCCCCCCCCCCCCCCATAGCAAGCCGGATACAAGGAGAGTGTTTTTATATCTCTACACAGTCGGGGCTCCTGGATCGCGCACATCCACAGTAATCAGCCACGATCCATCCACTGCCGGACGAAGGCCTTCTTCCGAAACTCTCGCCATCTCTCAACGTCTCACGATCCATCTCGCTGCCGCACACGAGTCGAGCGCACCGCTCCTTCTCCAGGGCACACGTTCTCTCCGACGGGCTCCCTCCTTCGACTGCCACTCGTTCATTCGTCTCGACCACCGGCCATCGACTCTTCCTTGCGACTGTGCCCTAAGCGCCGCTTACTTTGCTCAAGTCAATTCGACGTCTCCGAGTACGTCAGGAGCCGGCAACCTGCGGATCCGGCGCCGCATGTGGTGGCTCTTTAATGACAGTGTTCGTGACACGATATTTATTAAGGACCACCGCCGTCTCCTATTCACCAGCCAGTGCATTGCGGCTCTTGAAATAGAGGGTTTTTTTTACCGAAAGCGAAATGGCTCTCCTTCTTATTTTGTTTGCTGGTCCCTGGGGTATGTCCTCTAACGCACGTTTCCCTGGCTGCCTCTCGGTGCAAGTCCACGTACCTCTACGCACTCCTCACCTTTTGTTCCGCACGTGTACACGCGCAGAATCATGTTCCATACACGCGGCGCCGAGATAAACGAGCACTTTAATTTGGCCGTAAAAAATAAACACACACACTTCTTTCCAACGGTAATTAAAATTCAACATCTAAATTAGCAGTAACTGTTTCTCTTCCACGCGTCTATGTTTTCCGCGTAATTTATCAGCATTTACCACAACGCCGGTGAAACACGAGGAAGGGGTTGGAGCACAATTATGGGTGTAAATATGTCACCCGTGTGTTCCCGTCAGAGGTAGAGTTGTCTTATCACCATGTTTAGTGTTGCTACTCGCAACTAAACAATAAATTAGCGGACTGCGTTGTCAGTGGCGTTAACACGAGTCAATAAAACTCACAATGTTCTGAACGAACGGCGCCGTCTTGTAAGTTGACATTTTTAAAACAGTAATTCAACTTGTAATATGCCGCGAGGTGTTCACTCCTCGCTCTCTCGTGCAGAGAGAGCGAGAGAGGACGACTCGGAGGGGCGAGGAACGAGGGACCACGGCCACGCGTTGAGCCGATCCAAGCAGTTGTCCAAGGTCTACGGTCCTGTGTATATGAAGGTGGCGTCGGCCAATGAATGATACTGGTAGGAACCTCCTGGTTACACCAGCCCACAGGGGATTATTGTGTCCGTCCGTCGTGCATCCAAAAATGGGAAGGGTGGGCTGGGTGGAGAGGGGAGCGGCTGGGAGGGGAGGGAGGGGAGGGTGGGGAGGGGCTGGGTGGGGAGGGTGGGGAGGGTGGGAGGGGTGGGCCTGGGTGGGGAGGGGCTGGTCACCCCGTGGTGCCCTTATAACACTCAACGTTTAACCTACTCACGCCGGCTTGTGCCCGCCCTCACAGTCGGCCATATTTGCGGAATACACCACGCCGCCGTTGACCCTGACCATTGACCGAGCAACCCAACGTTCCTACCAGCTCCCTCTGCAGCAGGAATGTGTTTATTGCCACTTGAGAGGAAACCAGAGCCGTTTGTGTGTCTGCGCGTTCAAACCAAAACCGAGTCTCGTCGCAGCTCACACTTTTGGCCATGGCCCGTTGCCCGAAACGGGACCTCTGCTGTTCTACTTTTCCGCCGTAAGGCAGTCGTCGTGCCGCTCCATTGCCAATGCACCGAATTAAGTCATTTAGTTTTACAACTTGTGCACCCTGTATATTAACAGCTTGACAGCTTTGCATTTGGTGTAAAGTTGCAGTCACCATGTTTACGACAAACTGAATATCGCCCTTTTCCAGTCGCCCATCCCACGCGTGGCGTCTGCAGCATGACCTCTCCTCAGTGTTTATATTTTCCCCAATTGTATTTCAATTGTGCCTTCGGTGTCACGGCATGAGACGAAAAGTTCGTCCACAACCCGTGCTGGAGAATGTCCCGTGGAAGTGGATGTCACAGAGCTACCTTCGAGATCCCTTCAAGTTCCAGTGACGCTCTGGTCCACACTAGGGGCCGCTGCACTTCCTCATTTACCCTACTTCAGATAGAAATGTTCATTACATGAGAGTCAAACCGATACTTTTGAATTCTCAGACCTGGAATTTAGAAAAATGTATTGCAGAACCGAATTCAATACGATGGGGTTTGTTTAGTGCAGCGACTCTTTTCAGTTGAAGTTGATTTCATTTGTTACACGGATTTGTCCCGTTTTTTCCCAGTTGCCCAAGTATTTTACACGGGAGATCCGTGGTGCTGCGTGAGCACAGCATCAGCAGCAGCAACGACAACGAAGACAAAAACCTCGACATCGCAGAGGACGAGTCCAGGGTCCTTGAGCCATATGGCACAACTGGGCTGAGACCACCAACTCACTAGACTTGAGAACCCGGGTAAATCACAAGGTCCGCTGCCTGGACTTGAACTGAGGATCTCCGGCGGTGTTGGCTCAGTGCTCGGACCTCTGAGCGACCAGCCCATATCCTCCCTCTCTCGCGTGCAACGAGTTCATCCGCCTGATCTGCCCACGAAGGAACTCGATCGATAAAGCAAGTCGTTGTTTTCTAACCAGACGAGAACGCGGTGGCGACACCGTGCTCGTCTTTGTAGGGATCAGGAGCCTCGGGGTCCACGCAACGGCAATCGCAACCAAGACCAGCAATGTGAACAGAGGGCGGACGACAGAGCGACGGAGTCGGACATCACCCACGCAGTGCACCGGCCTCTCTGAAAGAACGGCAGAGCGAGTTGACACCAACCGGCCTGCGCAGTCGTGACCTGTGACCTCTCACTTCAAGTCGGGCGGGGGACTTCGCCCGGCAGCGCACAGCGGAGCGGAGTACGGCCGGAGTACGGCTGGCCGCTGTGATCGCTGTGCGCCAGCGTGGAGCCTCCCCGTGCAGGGCAACCCACGGGTTGGTGGATTGTGCACAGACTGTCCACAAAGCTCCAGTACACTTCATGGTAAGAGGTAAAGGTGCAGCCCTGCAACGCCACCGCTGGCGGAAGGGCTTCAACGAAAGACAGCTCGACAGTGCCCCACTCGGGGACATTTGGCCTACTTTTACACAGCGGTCAGACGTCTGGGTAGATAATTGTGTACAGTGCTCATCAGATAATTGCAGGAAAAATTAATGATGGAAGACAACAACAGAGTGAGGAAAGTTGCTTTATTAAGACTACACCCAAGGAGTCCAGTAGGAAAAACAAATCATAGTGGAGTAGGCACAGGGAAAAGCCTGAGTTGTTTTCAGTGACTATCAACAGCTTCACAGAAATGTACAGACATTCACACGCTACTTGTCTACGCACGGTGCCGCAGGCCAGTGGCCTCTGCTGCGTACCGAGACGCAGCGCTCCGATGGCGCGCGTCGGTCCCGTAATGCCCACGACAGCCGCGCGGAATTCCCCACGACGCTGTCCACCCAACAGCGTCGTCGACCACCAACACAGCCACCCTGATAACGGCGGCGAGGGGGGGGGGGTGGTGAGGTCTGTGCGACTGTGTGGACCACCGCTCACGAGTCACGCCACGCAAGGTAACCCCGCTGTAGGGGATTCGATCGTTCAAAGCGACCGCGTTCGCAGCCGGAGTCGGTCCTCCGCCGGAGTCGGTCCTCTGCCGGAGTCGGTCCTCCACGCAGAAACCGCTGCCATTCATCCGCCTTGAACTTTGCATCGGGAGGTGACGACGGCCTCTCTCCCGGGCCACTCGCGAGCCTTCCGTCTTTATTGCTGGGGGGGAGCTCTTTATTTAAAGTTCGTCAGTTTTATTATTTTATTGTTATAGATACGGCCATTATCGTCGTAGCAAACGTCACCTTGGAGCAATTATAAAACGGCCCGTCTTTGTAGGGAAATGTACGGGACACGCACGGCACGGCACGTGCGAATAAAACGACGCATTCCTAGGTTACACCGGCGACGAAGATGACAAAACAGGCGTGAACACAGACCAACAAAAGAAAATCCCTCTACTGCCAGATATTCCGTAACTTTGTAAACCTCTTTGCGGCAGTTTGTTTTGTAATACCTGTCGGTTACTGCGAGACGGTGAGCTGACGGTGGCAGCAGCGTTTGGAGCTGTGTGGCGTAGCCGCCGTGATCACACAGAGGCCGCGGATCCCACAGGGGACCGGCTCAACTTCGCCGTCGGGAAGCGATAAACTTGGCAGCAGCGGGCAGCCGCCTGCCATTGTCCGAGAGAGGAATATAGAATTCCTCTTGGGTTGTTTTATTTTTACAATGTTTATAAACATCACGGAATAATACAACTTTTTTTTTAAACAAAGAAAAGCAAACGGTGCCATTTTACGAAAGAAAATATATGTTGTCATCATTATTACACGAAAGTTAATTGCCTCCGTATAATTGCTTGGACTCCCATTACATTTGCGATGACCGATAACGCGCTAATTTTAGCCAACAGCTCGTCAAGGGAGGGCACCTTACTAATAAAGCGCTGAACTTGTGAAAAAATATACTTTATACGCATCCAGCGCCGCTGACGCAACATCGTTTACCAGCGTGCGCCGCGTCTCGCGTCACGTGTAATGGAGTGCGATCGAACCGCCCAAAACCGATTCCTGCAGAGTCCTTCCTCTGCCCACGCTCGAGCCCGGCCGCACAATCCGGCCCGTGCCACGGCCGAGTTCAAATCCTGGTCCAGGGGTCAACTCAGCCCATAACACATTCCTCTCTCAGGTCGATGAGCTCAGCACGAGTTTGTGGGAAGTAAACAGTGGACTAGCTGCCTGCCACGGGAATGCGAAACTTACACCGCCGGCTCTCGAGCCGTGAACGAAGAAGGGCATCGCCAGTTCGCTTATCTGAGCAGGGGAGACCGCTGACGTTTGCCTTTTTGAGCAATTCGATAGAAAATCAAAAGACTCGAATGAATTATATCGTCAGGAGGAGCGCAGGATCACAAACATGCAAATGCCGAAGAGATCGATACTGCTCAGAATATGTCAATATCGTTGCACAGAAATAGGCAGAGCTGACCAAACTTGACAAACGGGTCCACAGCCACAGTCCTCTGTCAACCAGTCCATAACAAACTCGAGCGGTGATCCTCGGCCACTGAAGAGATCATCATGATCAGGTCTTCTTCACGATGACCATCTTCATCATCAGCAGCAGCCATGGTGAAACTACTGCTGGATGAAGGTGTATGACCAGAAAAGAGGCCATTATGTCCAGGGACCAGATTCACACGTTGACAAACAGTGCCTGGGTGATTTTCGTCAGTGGTGGCGAAAGAGATGTAAGCGGACATTTCTCAGAGAAGGTCGAGTGAGAATGAGCCTTGTCAAGCCGTGAACCTTGCCTCTGCAGTCTGTTTCAAGGGGGAGGGGGGGGCGTTATAAAATAAGACGGAGTCCATTGGTGATTTCGTTGGTGAAGAGCGAGGAGGAAGGGGGGGGGGGGGTCGTTAAGCCACTAGCGGTGAGCGTGGAATTAAAGCGGTAACCTTTACAGGGATGCGGTCGACCAACAAACTACTCGCCGAGAGGCCCTTGGCCAAACATTCACGGCCTGTCAACGGCAGCTCGAGCCCGGAGCGGGGCAGCTCCCAACGCGCTGATGATGAGCGAGTTGGTTCCATGACCGAGCGATGGTACAAAACAAATAACGCCTCTCTCTTCACACGATCGCCTCTCCAACGAAACCCATCGGGCCTCAGGGCTTCCCGTGGAGTGCATTTCCATGAGCAGCACAAGGAAAACTCTAGGCCAGGATCAGCATTCAAGTGTCTCATCAGCAGTCAGGCTTGCTCAAACCAATGCTGGTGCACTGCCCGATGTCAATCGGCAAGGACCCACTGTATAAGACGTGGGTCCTGCTTTGGACACGCAAACTACGAGGAGCGCTATTTATTTTGTTCTCGACATTCCCCACAACGACGCTTTAACGATAATGTTGTGTTCGAGGCGCATTCCATAATATCGAATATCAACAGTTCATTGCACAGCGTTTTAAGTACGTACTGTATGTATATACATGTATACAGTGTGTTCCTTAAGTACGTGCTCCAGTGCTCGGCGTGCTGCACAGTGAAGCGGGCGAGTTAGATTCCTGCCCACGGCTATAGCCATCGGTGGCAAGCGCTATCAGCGCTGCCCCTGCCCTCACGCCCCCAATCTCCACCGAGCAGCGTGAAGTGTGGTCACGAAACAAACAAACAAAAAATAACCCGTGGCCGAGATGGCGTGGCGAGGCCTCTCTCATCCGTCGGTGGATTGGTAACGGCAGGAATTTGTTCTATTTTTTTGTGAGCGAGTGTACACATGCCCGTGGAAACGAAATTCCACAGACTCGGCACAGTGCGTCGTCAACGCAAGACAATTTTCCGCCTGGAATACGCCGCCCAAAGTGTACGAATAATTCGCCGGACGTAGAGAATTGAAAATGAGCGGTCACGGTGGAGACGGTTGTGCGAGAGACGACCGCACGATCGCGAGGCAACGCCGTGCGAATTAGGCAGCGCCCAGGTCGCCACCGAATTCAACTCAATTCGGGCGCATTTCACGCACAAAGGGGGCCGTTACTTCAGCGCAAAGCATCGCAGCGAATTGGTGCTTGTGACAACGGGGCGAAGTGGCGCATGCGATTTAAAGTCGGAAACCCACGCAGGAGACCAACAACGCGATTGATGACGCAAACTGACAAAGCTCAGTAAGAACGGGTGGCAATACACGCAGCTCTAGAGCTGGAGGTCTGGGCAAGGCTGAGAAGCGTTGTACCGCACGTGCAATGTGGTGGCCACATGACCATGCAAGCGAGGAATGATGGGAGTGGTGCGTTCCCGCTGCGCCCTTGGTGTGTTGCCAACCTGAGGTCCGTGGCAGACTTTGGGGTGCACAGAGTTAAGCGTGTGACTTTACAGACAGATTATTTGCAGCACATTGCAAACTGGCGTTTCGGGCAAAGGCTCATCTTCAGAGCAGAGGCTGATTGCCCAAAACGTCAGGCTACGATATGTATTACTCCTTGGTTCTTTCGGTAAAGTCACGTAGAAAGAAAAAATAATCATAAAAATTATTTCGACGTGACTTTACCAAAAAAACCAAAGAGTAATTCCTGCAGTCACGAAATCTCCAAATCAAGTTTGTTACGAAATGTATTCATTCTGTCACTCGGCAGTGTTCATCGGAGAAAGCGGCGATGTCATCGTGAACGTGGATTAGCGCTTGTTCGAATTTCGAACGGGAACGCTCGAGACCAGACCGGACCGAGACGTCTCTCCCCCACACCCCCCAATGTGACAGCGGCGAGCGGTGTGGCGACCGCTTTGCCACCACCCTCGCCGTGTCACGCTGGAGACTGAAGCCGCGCACACAAAACGGGCCGCTCCGTTGCCCCCCCCCCCCACCTGCTCGTTGGTTGCAGCCGGGCTCTGTCCCCGGCTCGGTAGTCCAGGAAACATTTTCGCACACCCCGGCCCACCAACATCCACCATACCCATCGCTGCTATTGCTACAGCTATTAGTCGCAAAGCCTACTCGAGTCGACCAGAGACCTGGATTATTTTTCGGTGGCAAATTAATCCCCGATAGCACCTCCTGCTGTGGCTACGATCTCCGCCCTGCGGTCAAAACGCCTCCCTTGTTGGACGGATGGGTGGTGGGGGCGGTGCCCCAACTTGTGTGCACGAGTAAAAGCTAAGCATTGCCAGCCGACCACGTGGATTGTTTTCCTGGCTAATTATACACGTCACCATCATAACAACTCGAGTACACCGAGGGTCGCTCGTTTTGCGTTCCCATTCGACTCCCGCACCATTTGACGGACCCCAACAAATCTGCCGCATGAATCCGCAGGGCAGATTCGCCGCTCGCGTTCACTTCACATTTCCATTCCTGACACGAGGCCACACTGCCATTGTCTGCCAACCAAGCGCCCTCAACCAAGTTAGCTTCAGGATTAGGGGGTTTGGGTCAGGCACCTACCTTGCGTGTAACCCTACCTCGGTACGTCTTCTTGGAATAATAAAGCAATTTTGTTAATCGTAATTAAAAGGAGAATCCGGTCTTGTCGTGTGAGCGATGCTGATCAAGGAGTCGCTCATTAACACAACCATCGTTACCCCGGCTGGCATGATCCGTCAATTCTGCCGTAGAGCGTCCGTTTGGCTGGAGAAGGCCACGTGGCGAGGAACGCTCTCACGTGGCCGCGTGCGTGCAGTGTCGTTCAGCCCGGGCTGCTCGCAGGCTCCTGGAGGCCCGGGGTGGAATGCCACGTGGGCCTCCCTGATTCCACTACCCACATGCCCCTGTTGCGGGCCCTCGTTTGTGTAACGCCCGCAGCAAATGTCCCCTTCTGTCCACATCCCCCCCCTCTGGGCTTCCCTGCGCTCATGAACAACGATTACTGTTAACAATTACTCTTAACAATGATCAGTTAAATATTAATAGCCAATCCGGCTTGCGCAGATGCGCAGCAGCCACCGAATAGACGTGCGCAGGACGCAAAGCAGGCGTTGCCCTTATCGTCCATCAGCTGTGATCTATCCACCGTAGGGTGAAGGCCTCTCCAAGTCATCGCCATCACTCGTGTGGCCTCGCGATGCGAGCCATCTAACCTTGCACACGAGTTGAACCCTCATTGCTCCATCTCTGTGGACGCAAAATCCAACCTCACCCCCCCCCCCGCCCAAAAAAACAATCAATGTCTCTCTGAAAATCTCGATGACTATTTGGCATGTGCTTCGAATACCTGTCGGGATTCACATCTAACCATCATCTATCAGGGATAAATAAAATGAGTGACCCACGAATACCCTAAGGAGTCAGCCTGTGGAATTTACACTGCCGTCTCGTGGTGGCTGACAGAGATGAGGAGCTATGCCAGATGCTCGTTTGAGCCTTGGGGAGGCTCAACCAGGACACATGGAGGGGCTGGCGGCCCCCTCTCTCCATCAGGGAATTCTCTCTTTGCATAAACGCCCCTGATCCACCACCCACCGGCTCAAGTTTGCCAATGGCTCAAGCCTCCTTCCCATAGCCCCCACCTACTTCCCATAGGCTCCACCCCCCACGCACGTAGCCCCTCCCACTGTCCAGAGAACCCCTCCCACTGCTAATGGAGCCTTTGCCACTGGCCTGGCATCACGAGTCGGGGGCATGACCCCAGAACATTTTAAACCGGCGACAAAATCCAGATTTTCACAAAAGCTTGGGGAGGGGGACACTGCCCTGTTCTGGCCAAAGCAGGTCGTTTGGCCACCGAAGGGGAGACACTCGGGGTGTGGACAGGAGTGGAGTGCGGGCCCAGCTGCTAGGATACGTCGGGGTCATGTGGTTCACGCAAACGGGTCGCGGGGCTTTTCGGCCACCGACCGCAAAGGTCACCATTGCGCCGGCGACACGAGGTGGCCCACGCCCCGGGGTCATCCTCTACAATCATCGCCACTAAAGCCCCAGTGGCGCAAAGATCAACATCAACAACAAGATCAATATCAACACCGTCAGCAAATTGAAAACCAAAATCACGACGCCGTCAGCCTTAAACATGCGACCTCTAAAGTGCTGGAATGCGTAACGTTCATTATGAAATATTTGTGTTACGACTTTCGGTACTTCCTAAGTTCCATTGCAATACACATGTATTTTACGTTTTCTTGGCAACTAAATTACTGTGGAGCTGCGGATTGCTGCGGCCTACATTTCACTGGCCCCAGGGCAAGCAAGAGGTTTATATTTCGGAATTGCGACAGCTCTCCGACGCAGCGTCCAACAGCAACGGCAGTAAAATCTCTTCCTTATAAAAATCCGCTCGTCAGCAGATTTCAGCAACAATAATCAACACAGAAGCGTTTAGCCCCCGTCGAGAAACTGCAGTTCATTCTGGGACATGGGCTCTTGTGCGCAGCGTGCGTAACGCGTGAAGACACGAAGCGGTTCGCGACGCACAAGAGACTGCACGGACTGGCCAACGTTCGGCCGATGTACGGCCGAGGTGCCGTGCCACCGCCAAACGGGGACGGGGGCGGGGGGGGAGTCCGGCCGAAGCCGTCCCAATTTCAGTAGCCATCGCACGGCGACATTAAAACCTTTGCACAGATGTGTTTGTACAAATGTCATGAAGGTTAGAACAAAAACACGGAAAATTCACCGGTGGAGGGAGGAAATAAAATGAAAGACTGCAACGTTTCCGGTTCACCGATTTATGAACGCATATGCAAAGTCCGGTTGTACTGAACCTGCCCGGAACAATACCAAACTCAAGGCCACAAAGCGACTGAAAAGGTTCTAAAGAATATTTGTCAACAATCACCAACACCAGGTTATCAGCCCTTCTGGCTCAACGGCGTCGCGCGAGTCTTTAGAAAACGCGTCTCCCGGCTTTTGCGGCGAACTCTTCTGTAAACAGGAAACACCTCCTTCAACCCGGACGGGAATGTGTGCGAGCGGTGCGAGGTTCACGGAATGTGAGATTGAAAAACGGTCCGCGGTAAATCATAGCCTTCTCTTTCCATTGTGCTTCACACCCCCCCTCCCTCCCCACCCACCGGTTCCGCTTGCGCGCCGAACAATCTTTTGTTTTGTGCTCCTTGTGCAAGTGTGTTGACGAGCGCCACCCAGTTTCCCGTACGCGCTTTGCAAATACGCCAAAGTCTCGAACGTTATCGGAGCGTTCCTTCTCTCGTCGGATCCTAAAACTCAAACAGTACCGCTTCCGCTCTGCCGTTCACTGCCTTTTGATTCAACCGAACGCCGCGCTTAAAATAAACAGCTTATAATATCCGAGGGTAGTATAACGTCGTGTTCAAACAAAGCACAGGCAACACGTTTCGCACAGCAGATAATCGGCTCGGTGAAACATTCTATTAAAGAAGCTTAGGACGTCCGACTCAAGACAAGACATTGGAAAATGCCAGAGCTTCATGCGGAAATAAGCCAAATGTTAGACCGTGAATGGCGAGCGGTCACCGACTGATGGGTGCCCGAAGTTCATCGCGAATTTTAAAAAGATCAAACCAGAGAGCGTGATGTGGCATGGTGTGCAGTTAATTCATCAGAGAGACAATGCACTGCCACAATTACAAACTGCAAGGTCACAGCGGCTGATTTCATTCAGGGTCCCCGAGTCTCCGCAAAATGATTTTGACAATCGACGCGCTGGTCATGGATCGTTGCGAGCGTGGTTGTGGTGCAAACGAGGCCACGCTGAGGAGGGGCACGAGGTAAGACGGAGACACAGAGGAGACGTAGAAGCCAAGTGAGGGGTGAGTTGGACACTTGCTCAATAACCAAAAAACTAAAAACCAAGTTTACCTCGATTGAGTCATTGGTATCGCGTCACGAGATGTAATACAAACACGTTGACCTCTGGGAACAGCGGAACCCTTCACGTAAGACAACAGCCCACAAGAAGTGGATTTCACAGAGCTACATCTGAGAACCCTTCAAGTGAGCTCCGGTCCACACAGCAGAGGGCAGAACTTTCCCAACCCGCTGTCTCATGAGGACAAAGTTCATCGCAATGAACGGTAAAACCGATAAGATTTCATTCTCAGAGCAGAAATTTTGCCAAAGTGCAGATTTTTTTTTTTATGTGATGGGGCTTTTTGTTCAGTCATCGGTGACTGGCCTGAAACTATAAACCCACTGCGCTTGAGAACCCCGTTCAATCACAGGCAGCCGAACATCCTGGATCTGAACCCCTCCCTGGACCTGGCCTCCAATTTGGCGCACGCCGTTCGGAGCGCATAGCCGCACAACTTCTCCCTCCAGAGGCCACGGGGCCGGATAATTACGGAGCGAAGGAGTCGTGTAAAATAAACTCCGAATGCCGCTTTTTCTGCACCTCTCTCTGGTTATTACGCAAGTTCATCGCAACGCTTGGACAGTTTGGTTTCCGGAGACGGCGAACCTCGCGACTCCAACCGATTACTTTGGGGAAATAATTCGCATTCGCGTAATTTGGGAAACTAGCAAGTGCATGGCCCCGCGGACAGACACGGGGCACCGAGTTGATTGCGAGGGGCAACTCGCGCAAGTGAAACAAAAAAAAAAGCCACACGTGAAAGCAAAATAAATTACAGCGGGGTGCGTGCGTGTATCCGTCAGATTTGAACACGAGCCGGGTGAAGGCAGAGCGAAGTAAAACAAATCCTTGACGTGTTTGTGGAAGCGTCCCCTTGCCCCGCGGCGGCCGCACAGCCGGACAGAAGCATCGGCGATCGCAGCCGAGCGCGCGGCGTCTCCAATTCCAAACAATAACCCTGACGAGACGATCTCCCGCTCCCAGCACGCTCCCCTCGGGGGGTGGGCGGGTGGCCGACAGCACCGCATGGTCACCGACTGTTCCACCGCAGCCCACGAGGGGGCGTGGCCCGGGGCAGATCAGGGGGAGTGGGCGCGAGAGACACCGGAAACCCATCCAGAGGGCCCCGCTGTCGGACCCGGCCCGCGAGGGTGCGCCGCGCCATCAGTAGGCGCAGGAGGGCCCCTCCGCAGATGCCACGGGCTTGACGGGCACCAGCAGGCCCGGCGGGCGGAACGCAAAAACCGAAGTGTCACCCAGGCAACACGGGGACGTGGGGCCTCCGCCGATGCTCTGCTCCACGGTTTTGACGATGTGGGGGGGGGGCGGAGGAGAGGACACACCCAAGACACGCGCACACATACACACACACGCTATTAATCCCTCGATCAGCCTTCTCAAGTTGCGCCACGTGAGTCCGCTGCCCTACAGACATGGCACGGTGCCGTGCGTGCGCCCGCGCGCATGTGACGAGTGCTGGAGCGCGGTTGGCATGGGCCCTGGCGCGAGGAACGAAAGGACCCCCGAACCTCACCCACCCGGTCCAAATTCCCGCCCCTCTTCGTCGCCTGGCACCCGGGCTCCTCCGGGCCGTGGCACCGCTGCACCGCCTGTGCCGCTCGATGGCTGTGCCACCAAGTGCGGTGGCGCTGAAGCCGTCAGCAGTCCAAAGGAAACCGACAGCCGAGGTTATTTTCATGCAATGCACTGTACGAGCATTGCATTGCCCAGAGGTCTTAAAAACTCGGATCGAACGTGGAAAACGAACATTGAAGGAAAGGCGGCCGGGACCACACCTGCACAACCAGAACCGGTGGAGCATCGCTGCTTCTTTGTTCAAAACATTAAGAGGCCAAACGGCGAACGTGAAGACTGGAATTGTTTTTACATGAAAGCTGGGTTCCTGTCACTTTGTCGATATTGCCCTGGCGCCCACCGAGAAATACCCACTGCAGCGAAATGTGTTGTACTGTGTGTCTATGCTCCCGCGTCTGCGCCCTGTGGATTCGCCAACCCGCGCCGACTGGCATGGTGAAGCATGGTCAGTAAACCTCCCCGACCCCCACGACCCCCACGACCCCCACAACCCGCACGACCTGCACGACCCCCACGGCGGCGTGGGGAGGGGCGGCGCCCTTATCCAGCTGGTAGGACAGGTTTGATAATGAAGTCAAAAAGATTTCACAGCACACAAAGCTGTGCACCGCAGCATTGCATTTGCAAAAGCTCTCAGCCTCACCCAGACCACCAGCTCAAAAGAACTGAATGTGTGGTTCACTTTGACATTCAGACCACCCACTCAGAGAGTTTGTTTCCAGCCTCTGTCACTTGTTCTCCACATCTGAATGATCGAGTCAAAGCGACAGTCGGTTACCGAACCAAAGCCCCCCCCCCCCCCGCACGCATCAACGCACAAATGCACGCGTGCGTGCACACACCCGCACGCGCACAGACACGCGGACACGTGCGCCTCCGCTGATTAGAGAAGGGGGTCTAACCAACAGCGCAAGATGTCGCTGCCAAAGCTCTGGATCTCTAACGCCATGCGCCACAAACACCCACCACTCACCGCTGCGCTGCTCCCAGGAATTACTGCTATCTTGCTCCTAGCAGCTGTGCGCATAGACAAAGACCACCCGGGTAGCCTACCATAGCCTTTTGGGACATGTGCTGTTCGCGAGCACCTAAGAAGGCCGGCGCATTGCGCAAGCTGGTGGCATGGCTAAGCACCACGCCCGGCCACCTTTGTCTTCCCGGTGCTGGTGTTTACACACCGCACCGTTTCAAGGTACTCATTTTAGCCTGAGGCCCCAGAACACGTTTGGATATCACTCACCACTGATGTTAGCTATGGCCGTGCGGTGCGCTAACCACCGTGCCACCGGTCGAACACGCATTCCGAAGCTGCGAGGAGGGCCGGGGGAGCTGCCACTTTTACAGCCAGGAGCCTTTGCTCTGTGCACACATTGCACTTTCTTTATTGAACTCGCGTCCGTGCGGCTGTGTTCAAGGGCAGAACTTTTCGCTTTGCATATCACTCACGCGCCGCTCAATTTTCCAGCCCGCATACCTCAAGGTGAGGTGCTCCGAGGCATTCGACAATGAGGAAGAGACAGATCTCTCTCTCTCTCTCTCTGGGGTACAAGTTAAACTTCCCACTTTCTTCTCCATCTAAGCCAGGAGTCCAATTACTGCTCGGGGTTTTTCTCTCTCTGCGAGCTTCCATTCCGTGCCCCCTTCTCCAGTGCCATCCACCGGCCTCGTATCTCATCCCGTCTCGCCGTCGGGGTCTCCCGCGGCCCTGCTCATCACAACGTCTGCGTCTCTTCTCAACGCGCGCATCGCCCATCTGAAGCAGGGGTGGGCAACCTGCGTCCTGTGGTGGGCCTCGCGGTGGCCTCGTCTCGGTGCGTCCAGGGGCGAAGGAGGGCCGCCCCTGTGGCTCACCGACCCGTCCAGGCTGCCCATCACTGCTCTAAAGATTCGCCTCCATTGCCGTGTTGACAATACAAGTGAAGCCTGGTGTGGCTCCAACTTCTTCATTCTACCTCCTTTGCATAAACCTCCCCGAAGTGGTATTATTGTACATTTCTCGCGGCATTTAAACAGAGTGTATACATGGACACTGGATGGATGTATGGGTCGATGAGCCGATCTATGACCGTGACTCATCTGCCACAGGATGAAAGCAAACAGCAGAACTCCACTCTGCGTCTCCGCGCACGCAAACACAGATCTCAGTTTGTAGCCCATCGGCCTCTCGGGTTTTCAGGCCAACATTATCCAGCAGCAGCGTTTGTTTAAAGCAAGCAAACTCTGGATCGGATTCGACCTCCAGGGTCTCATCAGCAGAGGCCTTGCTAAACAACCCCAAAGGGGTAAAGAGGGGAAAAGGCAAACACGAGCCCCATCGCGGCTCGCTCACGGTTCACTCCGCGGCCGGCAGTGTTGATCTCGGAGGAAACGTGACGATGGCGCCGCCGCTATATTTCCAGCAGGATAACGTACACAATACAAGAACTGAAACCTCTTGCAGGCAATCGTGTCTGCGTGAACCACACACAGTTGGGGTGAGCACGAACACACAAAAAAACACGCTCTGGTAGTATATGCATTGTCTTTGAAACTGATTGGTCCACAAGAGAGGCTCTAAAGAAGGCTGTCTCTGTTGTGGACCAATCAGTTTAAAAGACAAATGCATATACTACCAGAGCACGTGTTTTGTTTGCATGTTCACTACAAGTATATGTGGTTAATGCAGACATGATTCCTTGCAAAAGGTTTTAGTTTGATGTTTTAACATCTTAACGCCGGTTTTATTGCCAGAAAGGGTAAAACCTATTCTTATATGTTGATACTGGCAAGGGAGGTGCCATGATATAACGTACACAGTGTGTGTGGGAGTGCGTGCGTGGGTCTAACAGTAAGTGGGGAGCGGTAGTGTTGCGGTTAGCACTCTGCGCTACGAACCCGGCGACCAGCGTTCGATTCCCGCTCAGGGCTAACACTGGTGACGATTATCTGAACCGGTCCTGGGCCACCTCTAGGTCGACTTATCCTCAAATGAGTACCCGGACGCGGCGTGTAAACATGTCACTGGGGAGACAAAGGCGGCTGGGCGCGGTGCTGGCCACGGACACCCTCGTGTGCCGTGCCGGGCTTCAAAAGGTGCTCGCTAACAGCATTTGCCCCGACAGTCCGTTAAGGTTGTACGGGGGATCTTTGTCTCACAGTAAAACCTCCAGGCGGCCAGGGAGAACGGCGCCTGCTTCACATCTAAGCGCGGTGGTAGCGCTCTACCGTGATGGCGCGCGGTACCCGAAAGAAATCTGTCGTTCCTGCTTTCTCAAGGAAAGGTAACCTCGCCGAGGCGACTTCGGGGCCCTGCACGGATCCCGGAGGGAAACGCGGAAACTTGACACGCGACACTCGCGGGCCCAAAGTTTTGGCAGGTCACTCGCCGTCGAGTTCTCACCGCAAAAGCCAGGTCGGCGTGCCCACGTGCACTCGGTCCGCTGTGAGCGCCACGGCGGGGCCACAGTTCTTTTACGGGCCTCCAGTTAAATGTTCTTCATACCAATTGGCATGGTTTTTTTTTCCATTGAATCCCATTGCAAGTAAAAAGTGTCGGCGATGAAGGAGAAAAATTGTAATAGCGTGTAAGAGCATTCGCCCGGCATCGCATACCAAGATTTTCCAACATCTGCCAAATTACTTCGAAAGCGTACAGTAAGTTTTTACTACACCGGCACATCATTCCAACCGATGGGGGTTTATTCTAGAATATAAACCCTTACGTTGCTCCTGCGTATTACGGCTGCCAAGACACTAACTACGCCGCGTTTGCGACGGCTTTACAATGACAATGAGACATAAACCATTACAAATAATTTGATTGCAATTGGATGACGTCAAGCGTTGCTGCTATCAGCAACTCGAGGACCAAAGGTCTTGGGACTATTATTTGCTCTGCGCATTCGCGGACGCATGCACGTACGCACGTACGCCAGCCGCACACGCCTGGACGCACGCCTGGACGCCTGGCTGCCTGCCGAGCAAACGGACACTGCTCCCAATAGAAAGCTCCGTGCGCCCACTGCGATCGCATCATCTGCATATAAATAGGGGCCTCACCTCCAAGCAAATTAACAGCGGCTCCTCGTGCCGGGTGGCGAGCAAACCGCGGGGGCGCGTAGCCAACGCAGAGAGACAGTAGCGATCGCACGCACGCGCCGTTAAAAAGGTAGAGGCGCATCCCTGCAACTGCCCGCTCACACCACCGCCGCCGCCGCAGGAAGGGCCTCCGCTAAATGGTGAAGGCCTCCACGCGAGGCTCCCCCCAGTGGAGGCACTTCCGCCAGCAGTGGCGTGAGAAGGCAATTGCAGAGGCTGCACCTCTGCCTTTTAAGCGAGCTCGCATGGGCCCCGTTCGAGAGTATTTTGGCTGCACTTTTAGAATTGGCAGTACGTCCTGGAAGAAGTGAGAGTGTCCCCACTTTGCCCCAACGCACGGGACCTGCCGATCAACTGTGATTAACCCATTTGTGCTGCCGAGTGGACAGATGCGGTGGGACGGGGGGGGGGGGTGGGAAGTTGAGAAACCGTTCCCATTGTTTCAGCTGCCGCGTAGGGAGATCAAAACGGGAGACCCCTGGAGTCTGACATATCATGAGCTTTCACCCCCCCCTCCCCACGAACCCCCCCCGCCCCCACCCCCACCCACTCGGCGATGTCGTTCAAATTCACGAATCGCTTCTTGTCTAGGCCTCTTCGAGTACTCAAGAGGAGAAGTCCTGCGAAGGGACCTCTCCTCCATCCTGACGCGCGGGGGCACACCGCTCTCCGTGCGAGATTTCCGAACGGACCCTTCATCCCGTGACATGGACGCGGCGCGCCGTTCACAATTCGGCTCCCGAAGAAGCTCCCAGCACGCGGAGCGAAACGTCGGACATCGCGCCGACGACGCGCGGTGGGAGATGGAGAGACACTCACCCGGAATTTGAGAATGCGCGTCCTGGCGCCGTGGCCCCACTGCCTGCGCCACGCCATCTTCTGCAAAACAGCGACAAACGAAGGGCTTAGGGGGCGCGGAGCGAGAGGCGCGACGGGCGGCCGTCGCGCGCTCACGACGGGGACAGCGCACGCCGTACGCCAACGTCGTCAAACGACACGGACGTCGCAAATTGTCTGCCACGTACCACCGAGAGTGTGCGGCTACGCCATGCCGATGAGCACAAGTGGTGTGTGGCCCCCCGTGGTTTCTATTCGCCGAATGCAACCCAAGCCTGTGAGGTCATTCAGAGGCATGACAAGATACTCTAGGATGAACAACGACGATCGTTTCAGAAAAGTTGAAATATTAAAAAAAGAAGCAGCCCAACACTAAGTTGGGGTGCAATCGAGTAAATGTCTTGAGACATCTTTTGAGAATTTCCATTAAAAAACGTAAGATAATGATGATGATTAAAGATGACGATGATTGAAGATGATGCTAATTATAAGTGTGATGGTGCCGGGCAAACAGCATCGCCATGTGGCCCTAGTTGGCACAGTTGGTACGATTATTCCCAGAAGAGCTGACGGCACAGTACGGTGTGTGTGTGTCCGCTGTGTATAGAACAAGGGGCCATCCATTAAGCACGTACGCAAAAATCTGTCAAAACTTGACCCCTCCTCCCCTCCCTGTACACACGCTGTACTTTTTACACCCCCCACCCCCGAATCCTAGAGAACGGCCGATATTTATTCCATGCAGAAACGATCAAGGATTAATAATATAAACGTGTTTAATAAAACCGAGTCCACCGCCCGGTAGACTACCCATACGCAAGCATACACATTTGGGTTAACCCCCCCTCCCCCCTCCATGCGTACGTACTCAATGGATGGCCCCCAACCAAAATAATTGACAGTCCTTTTTCAATCTATTGCTGGATGAAGGCTTTCCCACACCTTTCGCTCATGCGAGCCGTTTGGCCGTACTTCACCACACTGTTCAGTGCGGGTTGGTGCCTGGTGAGACCCAGGACAGGTTCAGATTTCTCTCGCCACAGGCGTTAGCCATGGCCGGGAATAAAAATCCGCTCACCGGGAGCGTAGTGCAGCTCGCTAACCGCTGCACCACCTGATGCATCCACGTGCGTGTGTGTCTGCACACAGAAGCAGCTTTGCACGAGCTCAGCCCGAGGGAGCGCGGCCAGCTGTACCAGCACGGCGTGCTCGTCTCCATGGTTACCCTTGGCCTTCCCCCACCAGTGGAATGTAAGCCTGCGTCAACTAGATCAGAACTGTGCTCATAAAAGGTGTGCTTATTTTCAGCTTCTATTCTCTACAAGAGAAAATTCTCGACCGACCGCAGCAGTTTTACTCTTTTACGCCGGGAGAAACCAGAAATAAAAAAAAGGCAAAGGTGCAGCCCTCGCAATGGCCTGCTCGGGCCACTGCTGACGGAAGGTTCTCCACGCGAGGGAGCACTAGACAGCCCCTCTAGAGGGTGTTTGGCCTACTCTTCCACGCCGGCCCAGACGTCTCGGAAGGTGATGGGAGTACCCACACTTTACCCCACCGTGGACGGGCCCGCCGATCGACCGCGGCGAACCCATTCACACCGCTGGGTGCGAGCACGTGGAGGGGAGTTAATCAACTTGCAGATGGAATCGAACCGGCGGCCTCTGGGTTCCAAGCCCCGCGTGCCGACGACCCCGCCACGGCGACGGCTTCCCTGTGAAGATGAAACCCAGGCGGAGGCGACTGCCTGGGTTCGCTCTCGGTGCGGGGGTTTTATTTGCACCTCGGAGTGGGACGCACGTCGGGACGCGCGGCTCGGCGAGTGATCGATGGCTTGCGCGTGCACCCAGTCGGACTTAATTATCCACGCAGTAGCGCCGGTGGCTTGCACGGGGGGCCAGCTGGCCCCGACGCGTGATTGAAAGTCGGAGTCGATTTGATTGCCGGCTCATCGCACGCGCGTGCGGCGAGGCACGTCGAGTAGTGGCGTATTGTTAGAGAACGGAAGTGGGGTAATGAAGCCATTAAGAGCCGTTGCTCCGTACAAACGTACATTAGCGATGAACAAAAACAAACCTCGCAAACATGTACAATGCCATTTCACTCCTTCACCGAAACATTACAGAAGCAATGTTTGGATGTTATACAGCGCGATGAAATTGGTTCTTTTATGAGTCTCACTGACGTGCCGTTTTGAGGACATTTACGGTGTGTAAATCCCCAGAACGATGCACGCGTAGAGTTTTGTTATTATCCGTTCTGCGTCTCCGTTGCCGTCAATTCGACCAACTGTCTGTCCTGTGCCACCACAGTGTATACTAGCCCATCATTCATCTGGGGTCGATATATGAGTAACGTTTTGCAGGCAAAGTCAATCGTGATTGCCCTGTTAAGAGACTCGCCCCGTCATAGGGATGTGGAAAATCCACCACTGGTTCAAGGCTATGAACAGGATATCAACACTGATGCCTTAAAGCTCACGAGAGCAGGAAATCACTCTGACTTGACGGTGTACACACAAGAGGTGAGAGCATTCGGCTCTCTGACTCATCCGACAAAGTACGAAAACTGGGCCAAGGTGCGACATTGCAGAGGATCCAACCACGTCCTTCTGTATTTTCGTATCGCGAGTCGAGCACGAAGCGGGGACGCTTAAAACCAACGACAAAATCCAGCTGTTCACAAAAGTGTTGAAGGGGAGGACCAGGGACAGATCTTTCTGAAAAAGGGCCGGTCCCAGCCGAATTGGGACATTTGGCACCGCTTACCACACCCGGGATGGTTACAGGCACCTGCATCTCGGCCCAGAGAAAGCCGCACGGATAAAAATGTTAAGGTACAGGCGCAGCCCTGCAATAGTTCACTAACGCCACTGCTGGCGGAAGAACCTCTACTCTAGAGGGAGCTCTAGAGGGCAATATGTCTACTCTTCCACACTGATCAGATGTGTTGGAAACGATGGGAATACCCACAATAACTCCACCACATACGATCTGATCGACCAAATGTGGCGTACCCAATTATGAATACATTTGCACATTGCTTCTATGGAATCGAACGGGTGACCTCTCGATTGCAAGGGCAATGCACGGACCATTACAGTGCCGTGGCAGCTCCACAGTGATGAGCAGCGCCGAACATGCGGTGCCGTTCAGCCTCGGGCGTCATGGAAATGTGGACAAAATTATCCAGCCCACTCCCCCCTTTAATAAAAACAATTCTCATCAAAGCGCGGCGCTATAAATCGAGAGTCTGCCAGTAGGCGGGTGATGTTGCTACACAGTTTTACCCAATTATGTAATTAAACCGAGTGGTTTTTATCGAATTTGGCAACTTTGGACCGTGACACCGGCACGCATGGCCTACTGCTCTTTATAATAAAAAAAAACCCATTACCGGATTTCGAACGTCCGCTGTGAAGCAAATGGTGCGTAGCAATAGTAGTATTTTAGGGCCGATACTCTCGCAGTATTGACCAGGCCGGCCGCCGGGCTCCAACCCCAAACCCCTTCAAGGAGCGGCGAGCGCGCTTCCGCCTCTGGGCCGCGTTGCCGCCCAATTTCCCGTTCGCCGGCACTCACTTGGGACCAATCACCGTTGCCTCCGTTCCGATCTCGCGCGATTCAATTACGGCACAACTAATGTCTGGCAAAGAGTCAACATCGTTAACAAACGGTTTTTTCCCCATTTTGTTTCTATAATTCCCAGTTGTATAATTTAAGCGAAGGGGAAAAAGAAAATCCCATTAAGTTAAATAAATTAAAGTGTCAAGGGGACATTCACGTGAAACATGAACAAATCGTTGCTGATATATAATCGGCAAAGCGTTACTGCAGATCCACAAGGGCCCAGGCTGTGCGGCAGCTCTGTGCAATCCTCACAAGCCGAGGGACTGACTCCCGAAACAACGACAAGCGCCGCCGTTCACAACAGGACGTATTCTGGGCTGGATTGAAATGCACTTGGGAGAGGTGGCAATGGGTGGCTCAGGGCTCAACGAGACACCGTGCCGGCACTGCTGCCGAGACGCTGTACCTGAATCTGGGTTTCAGCCGCAACGTGATTGAACCGGGTTCTCAAGCGGAGCGAGTTAGCGGTCTCAGCCAAGCCACCGGCGACCCGCAGATTTATAAAACAGACCCACAGACTTGCGCAGACTTACGCAGACTTGCACAGAGACACAGACTGATGTAGATATTCACAGACGACTTACACAGAGACCCACAAACTCACGGGGAATGAGATGTGATTAAGCAAAGAGTACATTAATTAGTTAATGGTCTCAGCCCGGTCACTCATGACTGCACATAAATCCCATGATATTACATTTTGTATTCACTTAATTTGGCAATCCATTCCAGCTCTGGGAATTAAGAATGTCAATGTAGCAATACAAATTGGACATGAAAATAATCAGTAAATTTTTGCATGAAATCGTGACCTTGAATCGTGACCCCAAATCGTGACCACAAATCGTGACCCCAAATCGTGACCCCAAATCGTGACCCCAAATCGTGACCCCCAAATCGTGACCCCCAAATCGTGACCCCCAAATCGTGACATTTCACAGAGCGCAGAACCGTTACGTAGCAGCGCAGAACCGTGCGGCGGTAAGAATATGCACGATGCGAATCACGCCGCGGATGTTTGTTCCACCACATCTCAAGCCCCCAGAGCAGCATCACCCACGCAAGAGGACAACGACGACTTCCTGGCTGTGGACTCTGCCCTCAATTCATCTCCAGGCTCTGAGCACCGCGGAGGCAATCAACCCGAACCTACAAACGCGCTCTGCCGCGGAATTCACGAGCAGGGCTGGCCTTCACACTTCCTTGAAGCAAAAATGTCAGCGTTAACACTTTCTCTCTCTCTCTCTCCCTTCTTTTCTTTTCCTCTCCTCCTCCTTCCCTCTGTTTGTGTTTTTAACGTGCGCTCGCAGTCGCTGTTTACACACGAGGTCTGGCCAGGCGGCGCTGTGTATTAGTGAGGGTCAAATGGTCAAGCCAGGGCGATTTCCTGCTGCTTAAATGAGCAATGAGGCGGTGCTCACCTCCTGTTTACAGCCCTGAGCCAGTGGTGAAAATTCCCCATACAGTGAGGGAAAAAAGTATTTGATCCCCTGCTGATTTTGTACGTTTGCCCACTGACAAAGAAATGATCCAGTCTATAATTTTAATGGTAGGTTTATTTGAACAGTGAGAGACAGAATAACAACAAAAATTCAGAAAAAAGCAGGTCAAAAATGTTATAAATTGATTTGCATTTTAATGAGGGAAACAAGTATTTGACCCCTCTGTAACTACGGTGAGAGAAAGTCTAGTCATGGGACAACCACTGGTTGACTTCCCCACAAGGTGGAACTCGTTTCATTGACCCTTTGGAGACGATGGGCTGAGTCGACGACCAACCAGGATGTGCACTCGCAACCTTTCCGATAGCGAGCCGCTCGCTCTCGCGCCGTGGCACCCGGTGTGATGAACACCTTCAATCAACTGGTTGGGTGGCTCGGCGGCACGGGGACTCGGCTCCGAACGACACGTTTGCTAATTTCAATCCTGTTCAGGGGTCACTCACCCTTTGTTACGCATTGTAGCGGTGGCTATCACTCCACCGCTAGACGAAGACCTGTCCACGACACGTCGTTCACGGCAACTGTTTCACCGCGACATGCACCACGTGGGTCAGCGGCGGCCCCGGAGAATTTGCGGAGCTAACGTCAGCACCACGTTGTGGTGATGAAACTCACTAAGGCACAACATGAAACACGTGCTTACTGATACAAAAAACACGAACGTACGACATGAAACACGCGCCTTACTAATGCCGCGTTGACTAGAGCTATGGGACATGTGATCCTCTCTGTGTATTGTGGCCTGAGTAACCTTGGGGGGCGCAGGGGTTGGAAGGTCGTGGGAATAGGGTGGGGGCGGTGGAGGGGGGGGGGCACGTGGGCCAAGCGTGTCGACTGGGGGGCCACCGCAACGGCACCAAAACGCTCGAGAGTCACTGGGCTAAAGGGTTAAATCCAACGAACGGGCAACAGAAACGACCACGAAGAGGCCAGCAGTCACATGCACAGAATGCCATAAAAACACCCTGGTCAAGGTTGGCCACAGTTTCGTGTGCAAACAAAGACAAGGCTCCCCCCGTGTAGCATTAACAGACCATTGGGGCAAGTGCTGTTAGCGAGGAGCACCTATGAAGGCCGAAACGGCACACGAGGGGGGTGGGTTGTCAACACCACACCTTTGTCTCTGCAGTAGCGATGCTTACACACCGCACCAGGTACTAATTTGAGGCCGAGTCAACCTAGGGGAGACCCATGACCGGTTAAGATAATTATCACTGGTGTTGGCCTTGAGCAGGGATCGAACTCGTGTCACTCCGTTTGTAGAGCAGCGCGATAACGACTGTGCCACCTGCTCCCAACTCGCACACACATGCACAAACACACCCACATGCACAAAAACAAAGATCCCCCGTATAGCCATAACAAACTGTAGGGCCAAGTTTTGTTAGCGAGCACCTATGAAGGTCGGAACAGTACACGAGGAAGTGGGTGACCAGCACCACGCCCGACCGCCTTTGTCTCCCCAGTGGCGATGTTTACACACCACACTAGGTACTCATTTGAGGCCGAGTCGACTTAAGGGAGGCCCAGGACCAGTTCAGATAATCGTCACTGGTGTTGGCCGTGAGCGGGAATCGAACCCGGGTCGCCAGGCTCATAGCGCAGCGCGCTAACCGCTACAACAACAACCGCCATTCGCCACTAAGTGGCGGTGACGTCACCACGACGGTTGTGCCAGGCTATGTGCACCTTGAGGCCACGTGAAGTGTCGAACGCCCGCTACACTACCGCACCCACACACAAACCCACGCACACACATGCGGAACGTACACACACACTGAATTTAGCTCCAATTGGGACGGTACCGTTGGGCCACTGGCTAGAGCCACGAAACCACAAGTTCTGCTATTTAATTTGCGTAAATATTCTTTTTGCTTCTGTTTACCGACTGTTCTGTCAGAATACGCTGACGTTTTCTGCCTTTTGGCAGATGTGTCAGAAATAGATCAGTTATTCCCACATCATGCAAAAACACATTTTGAGCTACGATGTAATATTTTTCAGCGTTGGCCGTTAAGACCCATTTGTTTCCCCTGTGTTTTAAAGGAAAAGCTGGGTAGGTGTGTGTGTGTTTTTTTTGTGTGACCAGATTTTCCACTGGGGAGCACACAGGTGGTGCATCCGCCAGTCATCTCAGCCAGAAACACCCACAACCACCTTGGGTCTGTCCCGTGACTTCCTGCTCGCAGCCAGCCTTCCACACTTCACGTGACCTCCAAGTGGACCTGGCATGGCACAAGCGCCGTGGTGACGTCGCCACCACTTTCGGCGGCTGTTGTTGTTGTGACCAGATTTGTATCACGATGTTGGCACCGTGCACAGGTTGGTGGTTAATTCTTACGTTCCAGAGCTTCTGATAATCTATAGAATAGGGTACACATCACCTCCACGGATTACGTGCGGGTGTTGCAAGATATTTTACGGCGAGTCAAATTCATATATTTTTTACCGTGTCCAACACAGCGTATCTTTTAATTACCGTTTTATTTGCCGATCCATACATAACTAACACGAGCTCACGCTTTGGGCTTTTATAGATGGCCATCAATATAATAGCAGGAGACCCCTCAAACTTAATTTACAGCCAGCAGTGCCCGGAGAGAGATAGGGGTCGTTGGAAATGATGGGGCTTTACAAGCAAATAAAACCAGCAGGCGCCGCAGGCTCTGGGCGCTTGTGCACCCACCTGCCCTCGCTCGAAAGGATTTCGCTCGCTCGCGACGACGACAACGAAGACGGCGGCGGTGGCTCCACTCGGCTTTACGAAGCGCCCCCTCGGCAATTCCCTACGGTACTAATTTCGCCAAACTGGTCGTTACGCACAGGCATAGTAAACACGAGCGTCGATTAAACCATTAAGAGTCCTACATTTCGTACCGTGCGGAAAGGAATTTGGAGCAATTTAAATCCCTCCGTGGCCGATAAGATAGGTACCCCGCTTTAGAATAAGTCGTGCTTTTCACCACCATTGACCTTGATCATTCCAATGCTGGATGAAGATCCTGCGATGCAACAATCAACCTATGAGCTGCACGCGGGCGGATTTCATCGCTCCAGCTCATCGCGGCGGACGTCCTCTCAGCAGCGTCCACTCGGATTGGACTGCCACTCCGTCGTTAGTCTCCACCCGCGGCCGGTCGCCCCTTGCAGCGACGTGCCCTGCCCAATAATTCTTATTGACGGCCACGACGACACCTGAACGCCACGTGTTTCTCTTTCTGTCTGCCAATGGCTCAGAGACCAGGAGGCCCTGGTCATAGGAACGTGGAAATGCCACTACTGGCTTGGGGCTGTAAGCAGCAGATGAGCAGCACCACCACCATCGTCACCTTGGTGGGAGCAGCTCTGGGGTTATGTGGCGAGGCGTGGTGAGGCGTGGTGAGGCATGGTGAGATGTGGTGAGGCATGGTGAGGCGTGGTGAAAGGCGTCACCGGTCCTTCCTCTGCAACTCTACTCGCAGCCGCACCAGGACTGTTGCTGGCACATTCGAATCTTATAGATCAAATATAAACCCACACGATGAGTCCGATTCACGTTATTGTTAAGGTGGATTGATCGGCCAAATGAGTGTTTGGGGTTGTGCTTTTAATTGTAAAGTGCCCTGGGGGATGCTCTGAGTAGGTTTCAAACGACCCATAGGAAATATGTAGAAAGCACTCAGACTTTATGTATCGTGCAAAAAACCATCAGCCGTTCCTGTGCAAGTGCATCTTGCCCCTCTTGACTTTGGGCGCCATCAAGCCAAGTTGAGCAAATGTGACCGACAGGAACGGTGATAAAGAGACGGACAACTGTGGATCAGATTCATCCTTGTTCGGACTCATCCGTACAGTCTGCCTCTGGGAACCATGCTCTGCGTGCAGAGAACTATACCAGAAGCAAAGGGTTCCTGTATTGTTGTACAGGGTGATCCACAGATACTCTTAGATAGCCCACTAAAATAACACTGAGAAACTAACAGAAAAAAACTGGTTTAGTTTCAAGGCCTCCACACGTCTCCCACCAATCTTAAATGCACTTATTACACCGTGTAGCACTCACCGTATGCTACCGAGCCATCCCAGTCACAATATCCAATCAGAAGTTGAGAAAAAAGTGCGATGGGGTCATTAGAAATCGGTGGGTGGGGTATCTAGAAACGGATCACTCTGTATAACGGACGACGACGATGACGACGACACCACAAGGACTGTCGCGCCCGCCTCACCTGCTGCATTTTCTCCAGGTCGAGGCTGGGCCTGGCCGCCTGCTCCCAGCCCGGCCTCAGCCGCTTGCACGGCGACAAATATTGCTGCTGCTGCTGCTGGTGCTGCTGGTGGTGGAGAGTCTGCTGCGATCGGCCGCCGCCACGCACTGCGTCGCACGCGCCGTCCTGCTCGTTCTGCTGGATCGGCCTGAAGGCGCTGGGGTGCTCGCACCCGAGGTCCTGCTCGGCCTGCGGAGGCAGCGGCCCGAAGATGGCACCGCTGCCGCAGCCGCCGGTCCCCGCGTCGACGCACAGCGCCTTCACCTCGTCGTCGCTCGAGCAAATGTCCACGGGGGCGCGCTTGCGCTTCTCGGGCAGCGACTGGGGCCGCTGGACCGTGCCGCACCCGCACCGGTCGGTGAACGGCGCCGGCGCCGCCACCGTCGCCGCCGCAGGAGGTCGCTCGGGGTCGTCTTCGCAGCCGGGACGCTCCGGTGCCGAGCTGGTCCGCGAAACCGCGCGGAATTCCCACTGATGGTGCACGGCCTGCGCCGCTCCCGTTCCGCCGCACCGCCGGTGCTCTGCACGCGCACGTGGCCGGACGACATCGTCAATCCGCGCCGATGACTTTGCCGTGGGTATAAAGTACATTCAATTAAATAGTCAGGGTCTTTTTTTTCTGCAAGCAATGTTGATAAACCAGTTCCCATGGCTTCGGCACACAGAAACACAAGGTGCTGCCACTATAAGATAAATCATTCCAACCATGTCCGTGTATTCGCAATGACAATGTATCCAGCTCAGAGTGCTGCTGAGCCACCTCACTCGAACGGGCGGAACAAGCGATAATATTATTACCATCCCGTGCTCTAACGTCCAAACAACTGTAAATGTTGAAGCGGTTAAGCTGAGAGAGTGCTACACTTGTAAGGTGAAGCCAAGGAATGTTTTAAACCCCAAACACACACACATATATGCCTGCAAAACAAACCATGACCACAAAGGCAATGATATGCCTCGCCTACTGCTGGCACACAGTACCACGGTGAAATGGAGATCTGTCAAGGGTTCCGCCTCCACTTTACTTTATATAACCAGCTGGGATGAGTGTGGGAACTGCTTGAAGGCTGCATCCAGGGTTAGGCCTGGGTTAGGCCTGTGCCCTGACGCTGGTGGCACAGCTTGTGGCTCCGTGGGGTCGGTCACCAAAAACTCGAGTGGCCAAACCAAAAAGGGGCAGCCAAGGAAACGCCTCCCACCTCTTCTCCCCACAACCACTCCTGGCATCGCAATCATTGTGTGCTCCCCTCACCCCCCTCTCGGTACGTTCCACTCACTGGCACTTGGCAAACACACAAGGGTATTTTGTCTTTTTATTTTTAGAGTTCAGAGAAACACTGAACACAACGCCAGGCAGTTGTAGCAGATTTGCACGCACGTGCGGTGCACCTCCCCTGATGGCTCATCCCGTGGCCTACGGTAGTGCACGCGGCGCTCTTCTACCAACGTTCGTTATTCAACCCAAGCCAGCTAGAGCCAATTGAGAACGAAAGGGCTCCGTTGCAATGGGGACCTAGCTAAGACGGCACATCGGGTAAAACCATCACAACTAGCAAGCCAAACACTGGCGATCACAAACCTGATATCAACATGACCTGAAACGGTCAACAATGCACAACAATTAACAATAAAGTAACGACCGACAACACATTCACAATAAACAATGCATTAGCAATCAACAATTACAGCAACGCATTCACAATGAACAATGCATTAGCAACCAATACACATTCTACAATATAATTAAAGAACAATTTCATCATAGTGAGTGACCAAGCAACTAACATAATTTCAATTAATCACTGACTGGCAAGGATTACCTTGCAAACGCAAGGGAGACGCAACGCTATTCGACGGGCGAGGAGCGTGGTGACAGACGGCGGAGTGAATCGGCTCGTGGTGCAGGAACGCGAAGGATTGCGGCACCGCGAGACCCTCAGAAATGGCGGCGGCTCCGGCGACGCTTACATGCAGCAGTGGATAGATGCCGGCCCGCGAGGACGATGGGCGCATGCCGCCGCATTTAGGTGTAGCGTCGCGCGTGCCAGCCACGTGCACCATCGCGGTACCTTTGTCGATGAGGGCCAGCTCCTGATTTTCATCCTCCGAGTCCTGAGTCTCATCTTCGTCGCTGGAGGAGCACGTCACCTGCACAAAAGCACCGCCACCAACCCGTCTCTCTTTCAAAGTCCAACAAAATCCACTGGCAAGCCGATCACCCCCTCTTCCGCCACCCTCGCGTCGAGAAAAGTCGACTTTCCTGAACGCTTGGAACGCCAACTCCCAACCCCCCCCCACCTTCCCGATTCTCGCTTTGGCGGACGTTCCCTTTAGCCCCCTCGACGTTTGGCGATAACACGCCAACGTTTCCATTACCAACGCTGGGGCAAAGTGCCAGGGCGACAGGCCCCCCCCCCCCCCCCCCCCGCTTTGGCCGTTGCCTCAAAGACGTCAACATGGCTCTCTTCAAGCGTGTGCGTGCATGCGTGGCGGGGACAAGCTTCGATCCCAATTCAAGAGTGCCAATCGCTCCTCAAGGGATCTGGCCAAACATCCCAAATGCAGGACTCTACCGAAAAGGAGATGTTGTGCACCCCCAGTCTGGCTTTCGTTATTGTTAGTAATCAAATGTTTTCATTTTATAGCATCTGTCATCTTGGTGACCTTAGTCCCTGTTGTAAATGAGACCTATCCTTGCGCTCGGTTAAACAAATCAACGTGCCTGGACTCCTCCAACATTAGCCGTCGTTGTTTTGTGGTCGTGCGGGAGGGGGCAGGTAGCCAAGGGAGCCTATAAACGCCGCTCAAGGGGGAGGGTGCAGCACGTGGGTTTCCCCCCCCTCGTCCAAATGTTGTGGGAGCAGCTGCCTCCTCCTCCAGCCTCCACATTCCCACTCCCATCAGCGTAACCCCCGGAAGGTTCCAGCAGACTGACCAACAGCAAGGAACATTTGCATCCCTGCAGCAAAATTAAAAACGTGTTTTGTCGTCGTTTTGGTTATTTGATTAGGAGGCAGCAGCAGCAGCAACACGCCCGGCACATAGAGCTGTGCTTGCTGGCTCTCGCTGCGTAAGAGGTGGCACACTGCTCACACCGGGTCACTGGTGAGCCACTCCGCGTGGTGGTCGATTATCCGGGTTGCGGATTACCCACACGCGAGCCAGTTCTATAACCAGCTGCTCCACGCTCACCGAGGGCCTGCGACTCGGTGCCCGCAAACACGTGGGCGAGTAAAGCGATAACTTTTTAATTGGCAATAAAAACAGAGCATGCATTTTGTGTCTTCACCCCTGTCCTATGCAGCCAAACAATAAATATCTATTCAGGCCAAATTTATGTAATATAGTTGCATCCATAAGAGGTTTTTTGGGTTGGATCGCGTAAATAAATGTGTTGTTAAAACCCGCCACCACCCGACGCAGCCAACTAGTAAGGGTTGTCACGGAAACAGAACATGCCAATTCGTCACTAGTACAGCACACCGGTGTGTTGGAGAGTCACGCCACAACATTTACAATCAGTTTCATGATCGTGTCTGTTTTATTCGGGCCAAACCATGCCCCCGCCCACCTTCCCCCCCCCTCCCGGAGATAACTGAGAATTGACCGTACAATGCAGTATCTCAAATTTGACCTACGGGGTCGAGCCGTTGTCGGTGAAAAAAAAAGCCTTTTTGGAAACTCAATGAATGGGACAATGATGTCGACACCGCCATGCCTGTGTGTGTGGGCTGTAGACGCACGCTCAGTGTGTGCGCGCGTGCTGTGTGCGTCTACAACTCACAGCAATGGACCACGGTACAGTGCACGAAGTAAGCCTGCAGGAGTATCTGTGTTTTGTCACGAACGCTTCACCACATTCACGTGCCGAGCGTGGCTGGTTTTGTACAGCACCAGTTTGGGTCTACAAAGAAATGGCACGGTCATGACAGGGCAATAAATTACGAGCCGCGGGAAAGAGAATAACCGTGTGTACATTGGGTGGTTGAAGAATGTTTTTTTTTACATTCATTTGTCCAAAGTTTAATGTTCGGCTCTGTGGAGGCCTGTCTTAGCGTCAAGTTTTACACAAGCGGAAGGGTGAAGGAAGTTCCTACGCACGTGTACAGCCCACTTTGTCAAGCCACTGCTGGATGAGGCCCCCCTCCACCCCCCCCCCACCGTGGGAGTTATTTGACCGGTCACACTGCCTGGTGCGGGTTGAAGGTTGTGCGCAACACAGAACAACAACAAGTGGGTTTTTGCTCCATTGCCCTCCGCGGAAAGTCCAGTAACACAACTCTGCAGCCACTGTTGACCATCTGGGAATCACCCATCCAAGCAATGCCCAGGCACAACCCGGCTGAGCTTCCCAGGTCTGGCGAGATCGAGCCATACGGTCACACACACACACCAAATTCTTATGCAGAATAACAATTATTCAGTGAATGCTGTAATCATGTCAACTCCAACGTCCCGATGCACCTGTCTTAAGGTAAGCCAACAGCCTAAACGTCTTTGCTCGAACAAGCTTGGGGAAGTGCTCACGTTCACCGACAGACCCTAAATGAGTGGGTGGAAATTCCACGTGTATATGGCAAGTGCCAGACAATAGACGGTGCTTCCCACAAACATGGCACCATTTTATTTACCACGACGGAGCCGCAGTGCGATGAGCCGAGTCGGCCCGCAAGCAGGATATGAGCTCGCAAACTTCCGGCTGTGAGTCACCGGCTCTAATCATGGCGCCACACACCACGTGTAGCCACCCACCAGCCGCTTATCGACGTTCATAAACAGGGGTGGGATAGTGGCTGATTCTGTTATCCGTGTATGTCCATGGAAATATAATCCTGATATCCGTAAAGTAATCCGCAGACGAAAGATCACAGGTAATTAAATCAACTTGCTACCATGCCTGGGTCACTCCGCTTATCTGTAAACAAAAAAGCGAATGCGGATTTAGTGCTTTCCGAGACCACATTTGGATGACTTATCCAAAAATAAACGAGACATGGGATGAATTTGCCAACACATCTGGGCCACTCTGCTTATCCGCGAATAAAAAAAAACGCATTCTAGGAAAAAAGTTATCTATCAACGGATAACGGGATTTATCCAGACACCAGCCCCCGCTCCCAAACTTTTGGCACTACGATTTGGCAGCAGTTCCACGGGAGGGGACCCTGGTCGGCGTTACCTTGGCGGAGCCAGGCCATGGCTCGCTCAGCGACTGAGCCCGAAGCCTCTTGGTGAGCACCCGGAGCATCGCGCCGGTGCCGTGACCCCCGCGTAGGGGTCACGGGGTCACGAGGTGAGCGTCGTGTCCACACAAGATGATGATGATGATGTTCGGGCGAGGTGTCCTCCTCGTGTCGTCCCTTCGCACATGAGTGCAGCCCTGCACCCCCGGCCCGCTTCCTGTAACGGGCATCATCAGAGCAATGTCACGCAAGGACAAAAGATACAGGCGGATGGACACACGTGGGGAGAGAGACAGCGACATGGCCACACGCGTACGGATGGAGACACAACGGGGCGGTCTTGTCGACACCGTGTTTGCCCATAGAAGTACACACAGCCACGAGCACACGCGATACGCACAACTATCACGGCAGGGAACACAAAGGCGCGGGGGCATGGGCACAATAACTAGAGACACACACACACAGGGATGATGTGCACGGATAGCGAGGGTTTCCTGGGATTATGATTACAAAACAAGACGGATGATGTACACGCACGCACGCAGCCAGGGCGGAACTCATAAACACACAAGTAGGGCACACACAAGGAAGACAAACACCATTGTGTAAGTTACAACAACAATAAGGGTGTCAAACTCAGAGTTCGAGAGATACAAAGGGGCACGAGTAGATAGACAACAATGCAGACATGGGAGACACGCAGAGGTGCACATTTGCCAAGGGAGAGAGACAAACGTGGGGAGACACACACGACACACACGCAGACACTCAAGAAACAGGCTGACAGCAAGACAGAAAGACACAGGAAAACGCGCATATACTCAGGCACAAAGATTGTCAAAAGAAACACACACGGACACCGCCACCAGGGCAAAGACACTCAGACACAAACACACACGAGACGCCGATACTTCGAGACAAAAGAGAAAGACACACACACGAAGAGACAGATAACAACGCAGAGATACTGTCTAGGCACACATACACACAAAGACAAACGCACAGACACGAAGACAAACACAGACACAAAGAAACACACACAGACACACGCAGAGACAGACGTGGACACACACAGGCATACGGAGAGCGGAGACACGGAAACCCAGACACACAGAGAGAGACACACACACAGAGAAGCACCACAGCTACACAGAGACACAGACGTAGACACAAAGACACAGAGAGAGAGACGCACCCTGGACACAGCCTCCAGGCCGGACTCGTTGTAATGGCCACGGCGCGAGAGGATAGTGGCAGCAGCTGCTGCTGCTACAGCAGCAGCAAGAAGAGCAGCAGCAGCAGGATGATGATGAAGAGGAGGAGGAGAGAGGATACGAGGAGAGACGAGAGGAGCTGAGAGACAGAGAGAGAGAGACGGGGTGTGAGTGAGACACCGAGACTGCGTGACTGCCGCCTTTGTGAGCGGGCGGTGTTGGGAGGGGAGAGAGAGAGAGGAGGAGGAGGGGACGCAACCAACTCTCGCGATACGCAGAGCACTGGCGACGGGCGGACTACCGCATTCATTATTAAACTATATACATGCACCCAATGTGATGATGATGATGTACATGCACACCGCAACACGTGTAGCCGGCGTGCCACGTGCAGCGGGCGCGTGACGCTGTACGTACCGCGCGGATGATGAGTACGGTTATACATGCACACACGCAGTTGATACATACACGCAACACACGTGTAGCATACATGCCACGCACATCCTGTGTTCATGCACGCACGACATTGACTCTACACACGGGCTGCGTGCCTGATATACTCACACATACGTGCAACCAAATATTCATGAAGTCACGTCTGTATGTGTATTATGCATACACGTGTAATGCATGATGTACACACATTCACTCCATAAAGATATCATGTATAAGTCGTATATTATATACATGCTGTACTCTGTATTATGCACAAACTATACAGAGCGCGACATGGCGCAAACAACACGCTGTACAGTGTATGCCACTTCCTACAATATGAGAGCTCAAAAATGTAAACAATTGGTTTTCACATTTTAAATCTGATCTAACACCTTTTGTCACCTCCAGAAACAAACTTTCGCAGGCCTAACTAGCTTCGACAACACAGCGGGCAAACATTCTCGACGAATAATGTGTATTTAGTGGACTCAAATGTGTTGGATGCAATTATATTTTTTTTTATTGTATTCGGTTCAGCAATATATGGACCACGTTTCAGCTTCTTAGCCCTTCTAGAATATCATCATCATAAATTACTCCAATGCCCCAGTCATCATCGCTGTCATTTATATTTGATACGTAGACTGTGTTGCATATGCAATTGACGTACCGATAAAGTCACACGCACACACGTGCTGTCAACCGACTGAATGCAAGTCAAACGAGGAGGCAAGGGCAGCATTGGCAAGGTCACGTACGGGCGTGGCCATGCCACGTGCGTGCGACTAAGCTCAAAGCCAAACTTGAACCTGGACCTCACCCGAAGCGAGTCGCCTGTCAACTTGAAACCCGAAGCCCCCACCACAGCAAGACTCACCTGGCCTGGCCACCCAGGCTGGCTGGAGGCTTGCGACGAATCGCCCAAAATCTAGAAAGCCCGCAAACTTTTCACGCTTCAATAAATCGATTCTCGTTTGTCTTTGTGTTATAGCGAGCACTGTCCGCCTCCCAGTGTCCGTCTTCACCGTGCCCGTTTGTACTGCCTGACTCCTTCTGCCTGACTCGTTTGTGCTGTTTGTCTAGTTGGTGCTGTCTGTCTCGTTCTGTCTGGCTCGTTTGTGCTGTTTGTTCTGTCTCTCGTTTGTACTGCCTAACTCCTTCTATCTGACTCGTTTGTGCTGTTTGTCTAGTTTGTACTGCCTAACTCCTTCTGTCTGACTCGTGTGTGCTGTTTGTCTAGTTTGTGCTGTCTGTCTCGTTCTGTCCGACTCGTTTGTGCTATTTGTCTTGTTTGTACTGTCTAACTCCTTCTGTCTGACTCGTTTGTGCTGTTTGTCTAGTTTGTGCTGTCTGTCTCGTTCTGTCTGGCTCGTTTGTGCTGTTTGTTTCGTTCTGTCTGGCTCGTTTGCACTGTTCGTCGTCTCGGTTAGACTGCATGCACCAGTGTTTCGGTCTTATTTCTACACAACAGCCTGCATTATATTTTTGTAATACAATTCGCATGCATGTCAAATCATATAACTCCTATTGTCACGGAAACAGAACACGCCGATTCGTTACTAGTACAGCACACATCAAAATATTGTGTACATTGTTGTGGACGTGGATTTGCTCTCCAACACACTGGTGTGCTGTACTCGTAACGAATTGGCATGTTCTGTGTACGTGACAAACCTTACCAATTGGCTGTGTCGGGTGGTGGCGGGTTTCACGACGCATTTAAATTTTACGCGATGTAACCAAAAAAAAAACCTCTATCATGGATGATATTGGTCGCGAAAGCTTTTGTGTTAAGCAATTTTAATACTGATATGGCCAACAATAGAATAGCTTATACATCGTTGCGAGAGTCAGAACACTTCTACTCCGAGCTGTACAAACTATACAAAGAGCCGTTGCCTACACAACCTACCAGCAGCATTTCTGTAACGGCTCACACGCCCTTGCTGATGCACCTTCAAAAGTAGAAACCGGCCTGAGGCTCTGCCGCTTAAAACCAATCCTGCTTGGAAAAAAATTTCCCCCTGAAATACGCGTCGGCTGATGGTCCTACAACGGCTTCGTCGTTCTTGTGGTGGCGACGAAGAAGGCACGTTTGTCGATCCTGCGAGATCGTCTCGGGTTTCATTTGCGGCCCCCAAAGGGCGATGCCAACTCCGCATTGGTGGCGCCAGATGCGACCATTCTCCACGGAGTGCCCCTCCTCGTCACCCACGCATCCATCCATCATCACGCGTCGTCCCAGTCGACTGCCAGGCTCAGATGTAATGCTCCGTGTTCATCTTATTAGGCAAGCGGCTGATCGATACTGTGTGTTGTGCGCTTGTACTATTAAGGCCGTGATGAATGACTCCTGGGCTAAAAAAAATGTCGAGTCAGAAAGCGTGAGGTCATTTATGCGGGGGTCATTCTTCTTCTTCTCTCTTTCTCCTACGACAGTGCAGTGTATTGGTGTTGCATTCTCGTCGCACCCGCCGTGTAGCTGCTCCCATTGTCATGCACGAGCTCTCATTGAAAAGCCACGAGCATGCAGGGGACGTCTCTGTGGCTCCACTGCTGGATGAGTGAGCGCCTCCCCACGCCGTGAGGGCTGTCGGGGTTAATTGACCGGACGTAACCTCCGCTGGTCTGTGCGGGCGACGCGCAGAGATGCACTGCCCTCTGCTATCCAAAACGTAACCCCGTAGCCTATAATACCTGTTGTGCATTGCAGCTGCCCTTCCAAATCACTATCCAGAATTGGCTCCGAGCAGGTGATGCGAAACGTCTGACAACATGCCAAACAACAACCCGAAAAACACAACTCAGCAGCGACAACCCACTCGGTAGTATTGACAAAGAGATGAAAGCACATGAACAATTGTGCATACTCTCTTCCCGACTCGAGAGTTTAAGTAGCAGAGTCAAAATATGAATCACAATAATGCCCTCTATCCAGGGAATACTTTGAGTCTCGCGACTTTTTTGCGGGAGTGTGCTTGATGAGGATTTGCGTGTGGGTAAAAAAAATATGGAGTATCCAGAGAAAGTTCATACATCTGAGTGAGTAGCACCCAAAGATCTGCAGAGATTATGTTATCGCATTACATCCATTTGCTGTACCGCCATCTTCCACTCACCGCACAGCCGAGCCGGTTTTGGTGGTTCCGCAGAGTTTGTACGATCCGTCAAGCCTTGCCTCCACAGTGTCTGCGATTGAACACAAGACAGAGTGCCCTGCTAGAACGGCGCAATCACATCGTTCTTTCATAAAAAAAAACAATAGGTGTTTTGTTTACCCTTTCTGGCAATAAAACAGGTGGTGTGAAGATGTTTAAACACCAAATAGAAACCTTTTGCAAGGAATCACGTCTGCATTAGCTACACGTACTTGTGGTGAACATGCAAACAAAGTCTTCTTGGTTCTTTCGGTAAAGTCACGTAGAAGGGAAATAATAAAATAATAAAAATTAAACATAATTAAATAATTCTCACGACGTTTCGGCCACAACGCAAGCAGCCGTCCTCAGGTGAAGAACAGGTCTGTCGGAAAGACAGCGTCTGAATGAACACCACCAAGCTTGGCAGCGTATATTTAAGCTGGGTTAGGGGAGGAAGGGCGCCTTGACAAAGGAATTTGCATATCAACAGATGAATTTAGCATATTTATGGGAAATGCAGATATGGGATTAGTCACTACTTGTGGAATGTGTAGGAGGTGGGGGGGGAGTCTCAAAGTCATATTATGCTCGTGTATTATGTAGGATTAGCAGTAATAAAGGGAGGAAGTAGGGTTATCAGTAATAAAGGGAAGAATTTTAATAGTAAGGAGCTGCAGCAGCCAAACCACCACGTAAAAAACTAAAATATAAACTACATCAATATCATCAATATACTAAATATACTCTCCAATAAGCTGAGCTACTAACAGTAAGTCATACATTTAAAACAATGCTCTGATAATGCAGTGAAACTGATTGGCCTTACTCCAGAGACCGACTTCTTTATGGCCTTGTCTGGCCAGTGTCGGACCATAGAACGCCGCAATACGAACAGGACAAAGACGATGCACTATCAGAGCATCTATAGTTCGCGGTGACTAGCTATATTATGCTGTACATGCTCTGATAGTGCCTCGTCTTTGTGCTGTTCGCCTTTTGGCGTCCTCTGGTCTGACACTGGTGAGACCAGGCCCTAAAGAAGGCTGTCTGGTGTCAGCCAATAAGTTTCAAAGACAATGTTTATATTATCAGAGCATAATCTTGACTTAAAGCTTTCGTGACTGCAGGAATAACATATTCTATGGGTCTTTCGGTAAAGCCACGTAGATGGAATTTTTTTTTAAATATCACGACGTTTCGATCGCAACACAAGCAATTGTCTCACCTGATGACGATTGCTTGTGTTGCGATCGAAATGTCGTGATATTTTTTATTATATTGTTATTTTTATATCTACGTGACTTTACCGAAAGACCAAAAGAATATGAATTCCTGCAGTCACGAATGCTTTAAGTGAAGGTGAAACGGTGTAAATCGCTCACCTGAGGGTATTCAGTGGGGAGAATTCTACGTTCCTATGGCAGGGACCGGTGTAATCCATAGGACAACCACAATTGGCTTCCCGGCAGTGCCGGATTAAGCTAGTGCGGGGCCTGTAGCATATGTTATAAAGGAGCCATAAATAAAAAAAACAACATAAAATATTAAAACACACATTTGTAATTTGAATAGTAAAGAATTGGACGATTTTTGACCCCCCCCCCCCCCATCGTCACACGGCGTCACAAAAAGTCAGCCCCC